ACGCTCAACCACTGAGCCACACTGACCAGGCTCCTGCCCTTTGTCTTATCATCCCTCCCGCCCCCGCTTCAGGGACAAGGCCGGCGGTTACGGGATCCAGGCGCTGGGCGGGATGCTGGTGGAGTACGTCCACGGAGACTTCCTCAACGTGGTGGGCTTCCCCCTGAACCACTTCTGCAAGAAGCTGGCGGAGCTGTACCTCACGCGGCCCGAGGACCTGCCGCCGGCCGAGCACGACTCCATCCCCACCGTCGACACCTTCGAGAACCTCAGTGACCTCAGCGACGTGGAGGGCCGCGGCCAGGGCGGGGCCCCGGTGCAGGCCGACCGGCCGCGGGCTCTGGGCAGGAAGAACTCGGTTCCCAGCAGGATGGTGGACAGCCTGCCCCCGACGCCCCTCCTGGAACTCCTGGACGGCTTCAAAGCGTCCAAGGTACCTCCACGGCCACCCGGGGCGGCCAGGACGAAGGACCACACTTGGGGGGCTTCACAGCAGAGATTCCTCCTGACGATCCCAGAGACCGGGTGTCCCAGGGCCACGCTCCCTCCTGTCGATCCTGGAGACCGGGTGTCCCAGGGCCACGCTCCCTGTCCCAGGCCACTGCTCCTCCTGTCGATCCTGGAAACCGGGTGTCCCCAGGGCCACGCTCCCTCCTGTTGATCCTGGAGACCGGGTGTCCCCAGGGCCACGCTCCCTCCTGTTGATCCTGGAGACCGGGTGTCCCCAGGGCCACGCTCCCTCCTGAAGACCACACCGGCCAGGCTCACTCATTTGCTCTAATCTTGAGCAAACCCTGTACCAGCTGTAGCCTAAATCCTCTCTTTTATGATTGGATGGATGGATGGATAGTTGAAGGTGTAAATGGATGGTTGGACGGATGGGTAGATAAATAGGTGGATGGATGGATGGATGGAGGATCGATGCATGGAAGATAACTAAAGGTGTGCATGGATAGAAGGATGGATGGGTAGGTAGATGGATAAATGGATGGATGGATGGGTGGATGGATGGGTGGATGGATGGATGGATGGATGGATAATTAATGGTGTGGATGGAGGGCTGGATGGATGGATGGATGGAAAATGCAAAGAAAATCAAGTTAAAAAATGATTGAAATAGTCTTCTAGTTTCACTGAATAGAAATAACAGATGAAATTAGACAATGGGAAGCAGATTAGCATAGTCCCTAGAATTTAGTAAATATTTGATAAATGGTAGATGGATGGATGGATGGATAAATAGATCGATGATTGGATAGATGGGTACATGGATGGACAGATAGGTAGATGGATGGATGGATGATGGATGGATAATTGAAGGTGTAGATGGATTGATGGATGGATAAATAGGTGGATGATTGGATAGATGGGTACATGGGTAGACGAATAGATAGGTGGATGGATGGATGGATGGATGGATAAGTGAAGGTGAAGATGGATGGATGGGTAGGTAGGAAGGTAGGTGGAAATGCTGGGTGGATCGATGACTTCCCTCATCGTGACAGCCTTGCCCTCCGCCTTCGGGCCTGTGGGAGGGAAACACACCCGGTAAGTCGCACACCGAGCCTGACGGTCCCGGTTTCCCACGAACAGGCCCTGTTCACCGCCTGCAAGATGAAGGTGTTCGATCTGTTGCAAGAGGAAGCCCCCCTGAGTGCCGCGGAGATCGCCCAGAGAATCGAGGCCTCCGAGGGCGGGACCGGGCGGCTGCTGGACGTGTGCGCGGCCCTGGGGTTGCTGGAGAAGACGGACAGAGGTGAGGGGACTGGGGGTGTTTTGCCGAGAACCTTGGGAGGCGGGAGCCAGTCACTGAGTGAAGGGGAGACATGACTGGCTGTCCCTGTGCCCTGGGAACATGGCCGCTTCCTGGAGGGTGAGAGACAGGGATGGATGGAAGGAAGGATGCGTGTGTGTGTGTGTGCGTGTGTGTGTGTCCGTCCATGCACACGTGTGTGAGAAGAATGACCTCATGGGTTCCGGTCTCACAGGGGCTGTATCGGTCGGGGTTCTCCAGAGAAACAGAACCAATAGGATATATGTGTGTGCACAAAATGGACATGTATTTATTTAGACAGACAGACAGATGACATGGAGGGGTGGATAGATGACAGATAGTTGATAGACAGATAGGGGAGAGATCGATATTGATAACAGAGATGATACATAGATGATAAGTGAACAGATAGATGATACATAGATCGATGACAGAAGATAGGGATAATGGATGGAAAAATGGATAAATAGGTGGGTGGATACCTGGATGGATAGACGGATGGATGGATGGATGGATAGTGGGAGGTGTAGATGGATGGATGGGTGGATGGATAGATAGTGGATGACAGGTGAGATAAAAGGGTGGATGAGTGGGTGGGTGGATGGTAGCTGACATGAAAAAATGGATGGATGGATAGAAGGTGGATGGATAGAAGGTGGATGGATGGATAATTAAAGGTGTAGATGGATGGATGGAGAGATGGCTAGGTAGATAAGTAGAAATAGTGAGTGGCTAGATGGATAGATACATAGTAGATGACAGATAAGATAAATGGATGGATGGATAGATAGGTAGGTGGATGGGTGGGTTGATAGATAATTAAAGGTGTAGATGGGTGGATGGATGGAGAGATGGATACATTGATAGGCAGAAATAGTGGGTGGGTAGATGGATAGATACATAATAAATGACAGATGAGAAAAATGGATGGATGGATGGAGATAGATGACAGATGAGAAAAATGGATGGGTGGATAGTTGAAAGCGTAGATAAATGGGTTGATGGATGGGTAGACAGGTAGGTAGAAATAGTGGGTAGATAGATTGATTAATAGTAGTGACAAAGGAGATGAATTGTAGCTAACAGATGAGATAAATGGCTGGATGATAGATGAATGGATAGTAGATGACAGATAAGATAAATGGATGGATGGATGGATACATAGTAGATGACAGATGAGATAAATGGATGGATGATAGATGGATGAATGGACAGTAGATGACAGATGAGATAAATGGATGGATGGATGGCTGGATGGATAGTAGGTGACAGATAAGATAAATGGATGGATGGATGGACGGATGGATGGATAGTAGATGACAGATGAGATGGATGGATGGATGGATGGACAGATAGTAGATGGCAGATGAGATGGATGGATGGATGGATGGACAGATAGTAGATGGCAGATGAGATGGATGGATGGATGGATGGACAGATAGTAGATGGCAGATGAGATGGATGGATGGATGGATGGACAGATAGTAGATGGCAGATGAGATGGATGGATGGATGGATGGACAGATAGTAGATGGCAGATGAGATGGATGGATGGATGGATGGACAGATAGTAGATGGCAGATGAGATGGATGGATGGATGGATGGACAGATAGTAGATGGCAGATGAGATGGATGGATGGATGGATGGACAGATAGTAGATGGCAGATGAGATGGATGGATGGATGGATGGACAGATAGTAGATGGCAGATGAGATGGATGGATGGATGGATGGACGGACAGTAGATCAGATGAGATATAAATAAGTGGATGGAGGGATGGATAGATGGATGGACAGTAGATGACATGAGATGGATGGATGGATGGATGGATGGATGGATGGATGGACAGAAGATGACAGATGAGATGGATGGATGGATGGATGGACAGATAGTAGATGACAGATGAGGATAGATGGATGGATGGTAGATGACAGATGAGATGGATGGATGGATGGATGGACGGACAGTAGATCAGATGAGATATAAATAAGTGGATGGAGGGATGGATAGACGGATGGACAGTAGATGACATGAGATGGATGGATGGATGGATGGATGGATGGATGGACGGACGGTA